ATCCTACTGACTCAAATTGATAAATTATTTGCATGATACATTTCCTCATCAAGAAGAAGAAGTTAGTACTTGGAATTTATGTAACTTTTCCTTCCATTCTCCTTAAAAGGCCAATTTAATTTAAACCCATACAGATAGAAGCAATCTCTCTTCAGACGTCCGATATGTGAAACGGAATATATTGTTTGAGCATTTTTCTCCTATTTTACATTTTTAAAAATAATCTAGCATACAGCTATTCAGTAATAAGGAAAAGTGGCGTGATCAAAATAATTACTTTGGAAAAGGTCAGACAGTAGACAAAAAAAGGCAACTCAGACAAAGGTACAGTAGCCACATCTCCTTTTCAAGCATCCATTTTTCTTGCTATGGTGATGCCTCTTCAAATGCTATTACCCACAGAACAGCTTACCTCTTCCAGCCCAGTGCTCCACACCCCATGTTGAGAGAACATTTTGATGGAAACACAATATGACAAGGAGCCTTTTTCACCAGATTCTTTATTTACTTCAAATGACTTAATTGCTTTGACCTAATCCAGAACCAACCTACAAGACTAAAACTTGGAGTGCACTGAAAAGAGAAAGACAATATCAAGGCTTTTTAGTTGCCTCTTTTTAAGGCTTACATTTTTTCCTAGCTATGTTCCTGCTCTGAACAGTTTTCAAAACCCTAAAGAAGAAAACCACTACTAGTTTCAGTGGTAACAGTGTATCAGAAAGGGATTTTTCTAAACCACCAGAAATAGTTTGAGCACTGTATTAACCAAGAATTTCTACAATACCTTTCTCTCTACAAACTCCTATGAAATTTATTAATATATTGTTTAAATAACTAATCAAGAAACTAAATGAACAAGCATGTCCCTTTCACAGGGTAACAGTGATCAAAACAGCAAAAAAATGTTAAGAAGAGGACATATAAAAATAGAAGTGCTAGAATGAAAATTATGCAATACTGATTCATGTATCTAATATGAATCTAACACATTCATGTATCTAACAAAAATGCATGAATACAGATATACCTTTTTTAAAAAATACTATTCTAGCACCTCTTTGCAGAACATGAACATCCACACCCACATGGGGGTTTTTTTGTAGTTTAAGAAGCAAACAATTGCAAAACAAAAAAATTCTGCTGTAGTGCAGCATTACTGCAAGCAAAAGAAACAAAACCACAAACAGTGACATGCCTTACATAATCAGGGATCTTTCCTTGGGACATAGCACTCATTTATAATTCCAGGAACATTTGTTATTGAAAGGGTGCTTCCAGTAAAAAAGCCACATGCTGGATGAGCATAATCTGCTTGTAACCCCTGTAGTAAATTAGAATGGAGGACAATTTTAAGCCTTTTATTCATTGCTAATTAGCTGACAAAACATAACTATCTGTCTGACAGAAAACAGCTCAACAGAGAAAAGTAAGATTTTACAGCAACAGATACATTGCAAGGAAGAAAAATAATTTGAAAATAAATTCGGATTCAGGCTGTACATAATTTATGGAGATTTCTTTTTTCTTCCACAGATTCCAAATAGCCAAAAGTCTGATTGCTTTGCTATCTACTATTTAGATCTCATCAAATGTGACAGTCCAAACATTTAGCTTCAGGTGCTATAAAATAAAATTAAATAAGCCAATGAAACCGCATTGAAACTAGGACTTTTCAGCCAAATAAACCTGCTCAGATTCACCCTCAAATCTGGCTGCATATTTGATGAATAGACAAGGCTGGGATAAGTAATGAAAATATACTTCAGAAAAAAAATTTAAAACCCCAAAAAACAAAAACCCACCAAAACCAAACATTTAAAGCCAAACATACAGAACTAAAATACTTGTATTTCAAGACTGAGTAAAATTACTTCACAAAATAAGGAGGTTTTTCCCTAAGAATTAAAGGACTATTAGATATACAGCTTCTTCGTCATAGCATGGCATAATATATTGCAGTCTGACTATGGGAAAAGAAAAAGCATGTAATAACCCAAATCAGATATAAGAACATGATAGGAAAGCGCCAATTGTACTGTAGTTACCAGGAAAGAAATATAATAACACTTCTAGAAGTGCTACAAGTTCTACAAATTTTACTAGTAACTATAGCTATCTCTATATTGAAAGAAAGGTCGACTAAACATCTGAACAAATGCACCATCTCTGCTAATTGATACCTTTGCATTTTACACATTCTGACTTAAATAGCTGAGAAGTATTTTACAACAGAGCAGCTTTAGGAACTCAGTTTCCTGTGGAGCCATTGCTGGAACCAAACTTAAATTGATGAGCTTTCAGATGACATACATTCAAGACAGTCAATTTTTGCAGACTCCCACATTTGAGGCCTACTATTAAGCTCTACCACCAGGTCTGTGCAAATAAGCATCCTGGCAATTGTTAAAGAGCCTGTCCTTCAAAACAAACCAAGCAGGCAGCAAAACAGTACTACAATCTTATTTGCTAGAATATGCTAAAGGAAAGATAGTAAGAAAGTTGCTACATGAGACAGAATGAATGTGTATTTGATTCTTTGCTAAAATAATGGCACAGAAGGGTAAAAGGATCAGAAAAAAAAATCCATACTTTGTTTACACATCCAATTCAGACAGGGGCATAATTTACTCAAAATCAGAAATTTTAATAATGCATTCCCCATAACAGAAAACACATCTATAATGTAAGTTGGATATGTGTCATGTGTCCTCTGGAATAATTAGTAACAATATGCAATTTTATACAAAGAATTTAAATTAAATTAATTGCAGGAGTAATTGTATATGTAAAAATTTTTAGTACTATGGTAAGATGTCTGTGAAGTCCATGCCATAAATATATTTTTAATGGCTAAAACTAAACACAGGCTGAAAGAATCAGAGTCTTTGATTCTAGAGCCACCACCTTAATTATTCAAACTATAGGCCATTCAAAAGAAATAATTACAATTTTATGATCACAAGAATGAAGTCAGTTTGATCTTAGCTCTGGCCATACTTCAAGTAATATACGCAAGCACTGAGAACACTTCGTGCTTTTACCATTTTAGTTTTATCTGAACAATCTTTAGAAATAGTCCAGTCAGTTTCATTCCATTAACTATTTTCTGATTATTACAGATGGGTAATGTGATAGTTGGCTCTCGCAATAAAGGGATGACTATTATGTGTATGTTAAGAGAAGTTCCATTCATGTAAAGTTATGTTGTTGTGATTTGTTGTTTAGATGTCCTCTGTTCTCCCTGTAGTCCCCCTTCTCTCCCAGTACTTTTGCCAAGAGACGGCCTTGGTAGTCAGGACATGTGGAAGGAGGGAAGGCTTGTTACTAGGAGGTGAGGCATGACAACACCTGATCTCCAATCAAGTTGGAAGAAAGTGATCTCCACCAATAAAGGTGAAGAAGAGTTCACTGACAGACTTCAGGATGGGACAGGGTTGCCTAATGCAAACCCAGGGGTGTAAAATGCCAAGCAGCCATTTTGTAGACCAGCTTGTGGTTGCCGGGTCACCTACTCCCAGCGTGCTGTCCTTTTTCCTTATTCACTCATTTGTTGTATTTTGTTAAGGTTTTAATAAACCTTTGAAATTTTTAAAAGTGAGGAGTCATTTCTCATACTGATGATCAAAATATTAAAGACGGGATTTAAGACTCAAAGATGGCTAATGCAAAGCATTTTCACAGACATTAAAATGACAATTGTTCTTTAGATCCAATATCTACATTCTCAATATATAAATTTCCTTTTCACTTCTCTCAGCATGTGAGATTATCATTAAGAATAGTTGTCAACTTTAACATAGGTCTAGTTGAAATTTTAGGACTTTAAATTTTGTGAAAGATGCATGATGCCTATTTTTCTTAAGGGAAAACATAGTAAACCCCGACCAACCTGGCAACCCATTTATGATTAATTCTGATATAAATACTGATTTGCTAAAGCTGAAATCTTGAAAGGCCAGTAAAAGTGCCATTTTTTCATTGCAATAAGCTTTTAGAAAAAAAAAAAGCACCTCAGCAGGTAAGTATCTGTGTTCTCCATGCTGTGAATGTCAAGCCTTGAGTGGATTACTAGTCTACTGAGTCATTGCCCAGTGATTGTTTATCTCCACTTCACAAAGCACTATTCAAAATGAAGGCATTTCACACTGGACAAAAAAAGTCTGGCCCAGGCAGCTGTTCCACAGGGCAATTTTAAAGGGCTAAAAAACCTTGCTTCTCACCAGTATTGCCATTCAGCGCTACTGAAGACAACCACTTCAAGGCAGAAAGAAAAAAAAATCTCACAAGAAACAAAACCACCTTCCACTGCAAAAATATTTTTTTCAGAATCCACCATTACAGTCTCTGCACTAACCACTGTCATAGAAATTAGGATTTCTGTCTGCTTAGTGCTTAAACCCAGCATGGAGATTTATCCCTTGGTAAAAAACAAAATCTCCCTAAGAGCTTTATTTGTAACATTACTGTTCAGGACAAACTTTTGAAACTCTCTCTAGCTTCCTTCCTCTCTTCATCCGCAGCTCCCTTTTCCCATCACCTACAGAAGTGTAGACAGACCTCTCCAGAAAATGAGACAAATTTTGACAAAACATCATCTCAAGAACAGAGAGTCTACAGGACATAGTTAAGTGGAGACTGTGAAGCTATTAAAACAACAAAGTAATTACCTGAATGTATTATTACTGCATATACAACTATACTTAAAAATTTTCATTTTATCAAAACAGAAGCAAATGCACTTCAATTTATCTGTCAATATAATTCATTTTACAATTGACTGTGGGTAGGTTTTCTTTTTTTTAAATATAAAGAAGCTTCTAATAGCAATTCACAGCTTCTTTTCAATCATTTAAACCCAGATTAACAATCCCTGGTACATAATACTGGCCAAACTTCTAAAAACAACCAGCGAAATAGTATTTTTCACTGCATGTTAACAAAAAACTAGCACTGACCACACTGACACAAATTCGAGTGTGAAACATTTTAAGAAGGGTTACCTCAGATTCATCTGTTGATTCCTCATAAGACCTGGTTTCCTGAAAAGGACACAAAAAAACAAAGGGGTAAATAGCTAAGTATATACATAACTGAGCAGTATTTCCCTTTAAGAAATACTTTTAAACCCTTTTTAAGAAATGAAAGACAAAGCAGAAGCAACTTAAAGTTCAGAGTTTCCATCCTTGTCATTCATACTCAATTTGTGCTTGCATTTGTGTCACAATGATACTCAGGGAGCAGCAGGGACTCTGTTGTCAGTTACCCTAAAAGGGAGAGTGATTGGGTCATCTGAGAATCTGTCCCCGTGATTATGTTCCCCTCTTCCAGAAGCAGTAGCAAATTTTGCAAGGAAATTCCCCATATCTTGACTTCCATGGCAGAACAGCATTCTCAAGTTACCCACAAGCCAGCTTTGCTATTCAACTATTCAGCTGTTAAGAGGATTATTTTAAACTTAAATAATTTCAAACCATTTTCCATAGAAATCCAGAATTCAATGGCTTTCTCCTGCCTTTGAAACAACTGTACCTTTAAAACATCTCTCTGGCAAGATGATTCTTTCAACCCTAGAAAAAATTTTTTTAAAGTCAACTCCTGCTCATCTCTTGTCTGCCCACTGAGAAAATCTGCTGATGCAATGCCTCCTCAAAGAAGTCAGCAAAACGAAGATTTACTTAACATATTTATCTTTATCAACAGCAATAAAGGATTACAACCAATAGTGAATGTAAGCATTTTAACAATAAAATATGATATAAACAAAGAACAAGTAAGAGAGAAAGCAGCATTTCAAATCTTATGAAGGGAGTCTTTGAAGAGTAAGATTAATAGGTACAGAATTCCACCAGACAAGACAAAAAAAAAATAAAAATTACACCCTTACCGGCAGCTCAGGGAAAAACGGAAAAGGGAGAACATTTAATGCACTGACAACCAGTGTAATTTTTTGTTTCTCACATTTATTTATTTTCTATGTTTATATAATATACTGATTGTGACCTGTACACCAGAAGCAAAGGCTTCCTTTTCATTAGTGGAGGATCACACTGATGCCCATAATGACCATCACAGCAGATGGGAAAGAGGCAAAGCAGCACTTCTACCCGCTACTGGAAGTTTTGTGCAAAGTGTTACCACAATTACTGACATCCATTTCCTCCATTTTACTCACTACAGATAGATCCACCTCTAAAATACACATCCTATAGAAAGGTTATCAGTGTAGTCTATACTTGTGTCATGAATTGGGTAATTGCAAGTAAAAAGTACATGGGAATCAAGGGAAGATGGAGTAAAATCCTGGCATGCTTTGAAGTTTAGATTCAACTTTGCAAGCCCCAACTGTTTGTCTGTTGGTGTCCCAGTCTCTAATCACAAGCTGCTGTAACTTTTCGGGAAATTACAATTACATACAATCTTTGTGCATCTTAACAATAACAAGTGAGAACCGAACTAAAACAGTGTGGTGTAATATTGCCAGCTGATTGGATGAGCTAGAACAACACACAAAATCCAATGCAAAGTATCATCAGATTCCTAATAAAAGCCCATGATTTTATCTTCTGAATACCAAGAGCTACCTACTCAAATCCTTAATAAATCAAAATTAATAATACCACAGTTATGGTATTTTGGTATAATTCACATAGTTTGGGGGGGGGGGGGGGGGGAGGGGAAGCTCTCCCAAACAAAGGAATTATAGCAAGTGACATTTTTGCCAGTGCAGCTACACCAACTACATCTGCCCTTCACGGTTCCAATTGTTTTGGTTGTCTAGGAACGCTGTCAGACCAACACATGTGCAGGATGGAGTTAACAGCTCACTTACTGAGACAGCAGCTGGTCCTCACACCCACCTGAACCTCAAGTTACGTGCAAAGGCATCCCTAGAGGATATTGACATATAAAATTAGGGCATGCCAGAAGTTGATTCCAATAATCAATCCATGTGAACTAAGAAAATATCAATCTATTTTTATTTAGGACATCCACCCTGGTATCCCTACTGTATTCACAAGGCACTGCAATCTCAGATACCAAATTTCATAAATGGCATACAAATAGAGGTAAATGCTTCATGGCCTTTATGTTTTACTGCAGAAAATAACATAGAAAAAAATCAGAGGGAGCCTTGGCTTAGGAAAGCAATGCAAAAATTGTATTTGTTCTCTGACAAGCAGTTAGCTGAAGGTGCTTAGAATTGATACTTACCTACACACTCACTTTGGTAGCAACTTACTATGAAAAGCTTTTTCCCTGTGCTTTCCCACTTGCTTAGGCAAACTTGAACAGTGAACTGTAGTTATGATTGCCCTGGGGCTTTGTTAGGCTCCTTTGCCTTCCCTCCAAATGCATGAACTGAAAAGATTATCCTCCATTTCCACTTTTTAGTAGCCTTGTGACTGTGGAAAGGAAATCCCTAAAAAGGGATTTGTAGACAACCAGAATCCAAAATTATTTAGGAATAGCAGTCTTTAGCAATCTCAGACTCTAGGGGAAAATCAGCAGTACACTTCAGCCAGCTGACAAACACTGTTGCTTAAGTAGCCTAAGAATGAACTAAGGGAACACAGATCAGGAAACCATAGGAATGTGAAGTAATCTCTCACCATTATAATCTCTCACTTAACAGATCCAGATAACTTCTCAAAATATTCTTAAGTGGGCTTTCCAGTATGATGGGTATAGCGTTTTCCCTTCCCCTGGTTTTACAAATATCAAATGTAATCCACTATGTGTTTAGGCTCATAACATAAACCTGACAGAAGGTGAAAGATACAAAACTTGAGTTTTACAGAAACACGTGCACAACACACACACAGCCCTTTCAGTAGAGGCGCGCATGCTAATCACGGGAAATAAACTGAAATAAATAAACTCTCCTGTCATAGTCCAAAGAGAGCAAAACACAGGCTATTTTAATCTGTTGTATTGCTAGAGAACACTTGTCCAAGTTTGTTTCATCCTTCCAAAGGCTGCCACAGTTAAAAGCTCATCAGTCCTGGGGGAAAAAAGCCTTCCTCAAGGAAGCCAAGCCCTCCCAACAAAAGTCTGTCAGCAGGGAAGGTGGAAACCAGATGCCAGTCTCTAACTTTGGCTGATTACCCTGAAGTAATTCCAAGACTCTCTCACTTTTAGGCATCCATGACTGACAAATATTGCACAGCTGAGCTGTCTGTTCAAATACTGGCTCAGCAAAGAAGCATTTATAAAGTACTTGAAAGGGCCAGGAACGGCACTTTTTCCTTTATTTTTTTTTTTTTTCTTGGGAAAGAGCAACCTAAGGACGGGGAGCTTTAGGAGAACACCCGATTAAGAGAGCAGCACCAAAATCCTCAAATTTTGTCTCAGAAAAAAATTTCCTTGTTGAAGTGAACTTGGTCATGTCCCCTATGTCCCTCGGTAGAGAGACAGCTCTTGGCTCCACAGCGGCGTCAGAAGCACTTCTAAAGCCACCCTCTCGGCCAGACCCAGGTTCCGCTGCCTCCATCTTCCCTCCTCCGCCCCGGTGCAGCGAGGCTGTCTCCGACGGCTCCGCACCCCGCAGGGCTGGCTGCCGGCCTCTGCCCCCTGGCACAGCCACTGTCCCACTGTCCCTCCGCCCCTCCATTCCTATGTGCCCCGCCCTGGTCCCGCGCTCCCGCTCTAAGCCCCGCTCCTCGGCGCTGCGGCCACAGTGCACTGACAGTCTCTACCTTCTCCCCGGCTTCCGCCATGGCGCAGCCAGGCATCTGTCATGCGACGGGCAGGAAGCCGTCGAGCCGGAGGCACTCTGGGAAATGTAGTTTCGGCGGGAAGCAAGCAAACGCTTCCTCCGCACCCTTTTTCCCTTCCTCGGCCCAGCTGAAGTGTGGTGGCGATACCGTGAAAAAACAGAGGGCACACGCAAGGCTGGGCCCAACGGCACACCTCAACCAAGTTTCCTCTCCACCTTCCTTAGCTGCGAGATGCTTTTTTAAGCTGAAATCCATCGATTCTCTCAGGGAGACCAGCATGATCTCCCAGCTCCATGATATACCCAGCTGTGATGGGATTGAAGGTAGCCATGGCAGTGCTTGGTGAGCTGGTGCCTGATTAGCGAGGGTTCGGGTGTAGCTGAAGCCAAGAGCCATTGACAGCCTGCGTGCTGCCACTGTTGCGTTCAGCAGTGCCAGTGCTCCCAGACCGGGCCCTTTTACTGTCATCCGTCTGAGTAGCACCTAGTCGAGCACAGCTTCGGTTGCCATTATATCCTCCGGTTTCCATTAGGTGCTACATGTAGCAGCGTTGGTCCTCTTTGTACTTTTTACTTAATCATCGGTATTGAAATGGCCCACACTAGTGTCAGGAGAAGGATTTCAGAAAGCCTAAATATCTTCTACAATCCTAGAAGCTTCTGCATCTTGATTTTTAAAAGCATAAAATAAGACTTTAATGTCTTGCTTGCACACAAGGGCTTTCTTTATGTGTTAAAAACCTAATCAAAGCTAAAAAGCAATAGGCAGAACTTTTTACACTTTGGGGTTTGCCTTTGGAGCTATTTAAAATACAAGGTGGAGCTATAGTGTTATGTGTCCTTAGGTTCAAAGCCATGAATTAAAAAATGTGCAGTACAGTTTACCTTTGGCAAAGAGAAATCTTATCATACTGTTATATTTGCCCAATTATCCATTAAAAAAAAAACAAACAAACCCAAAACTAAATGTAACAGCAATTTTAATTAAGTAGCATAATATATATATAATTGAATACACTCAAAATATTGACAATATAATTTGGCTCTAATAATAGCGCATAAGCAAAAATAACCACATGAGATACATGCGGGGTATGGAGTGCAGGGCTTGATCCCCCATCACCTCACATACAATAACAAAGTCAAAATATAATAACAAAGCCAAAATTCCCCTTTTATGCTGTATATCATTACAATCTCCTCCCATTTTCAATTCGTCACACCTGTATCACTGCCCTCATCATCACCTTTACCATGCGTGCTCCACCATTCTTTTAGGGGGTCGCACCACTCTTTGGGGGTCTTCTTTGAGGAAGGCCTCTTCTTTTCCTCGGTATCCTTTAATTCACCTTTTGGATTACACATACGTACCAAGCTGGTATAGTATAAGCCAATATTATGTTCTAACATTAAAGCAATAAATCTCATATAATTAACATTTTCCTGGTGTCCAACCAAATTCTCCTCTCTTCCAGCTAAACTTAGTTATCTCTTGCTTCTTCCTGTTCTGAACATCTGCAGGAGAAGAGGGGGAACCCCTCCTCTCCCTTTCTTTCTTGGCATTACATCTTTAACTGTTTTATTATTTCCAAATATTAATTACTGTTATCATATTGATTACTATTTAAATTTTGTCAGCACGAATCATACCTATTTATGACAATACCACACTGCAATACCTTAAGGCCATACAGTTAATTGCAACAGAGTATCACCTTGGCTGTGAAAATAATGTATATCATTGCTGTACCTTTAGAAACTAATTGCCAGAATTTTGACTGAGGAGAGCTAGAACTGTCCTTGAAAATCACACTGAAAGTGGTACACAGAGTTGAGAGAGAGTTATCAAAGTTACAGTTTCAGTTCAAGAACATATAAAAGTAGCTATCCTGAAAATATTTGTTTGAAAATGATAAAACAAAGTATCTTTTTAATGGTTTGTTCTGGACTGTCAAGGTGCCATTGCAAAGAACAGTGTAAATGTCATCCAGGCTATATAAGCCACACGATATCTAGAGTGAAAGAGATGTTTGGTTGGCATTGTACAAAATATTGTTGAGACCACACCTGGATATAATTGTAAATTTGAAGTCACCTTTGTTACAAAAAAAATTTATTGAAACTGGAAGGCACCAAACAACCACTTTTAAGGTCTGCTCTGTGGGAGAAGACTGATAAAAAGAAGGGCTTAGCAACTTCAGTCTAGCAATAAAAGAGATCTGAGGAAGAACTATTAAAGTAAAAGGTATGAGATCAAATCAGTATCAGCTATTTTCAGTGCATTTAGGCTGGAAATGAGAAATACATTTCTATGTGTCAGACATGCATGGTCCTCAGAAGAATCTTGCTGGCGAGAAATTTAACTCATTTCAAGATGAAACTTAATAAGCTTAAATAAGAGACTGTAAGAGGTGTTTTCTGACAGCTGTGTGCTTACCCAGACTGCTGTCCATTATAGGCCCATTCAATCCTTCTTGAATCTTAGTCCTGTTCAGATCAAGTGAAAAAATATATCATCGCTGTCAATGGAGCCAGGATTTGTCCTTTAATATGTAATACACAAATTATATTTTCTGTTACTCTAAACTGTGTATATCTTGTAAAAGGAAATTTTGCCAGTGAAGTTTTTCCCCTACTTTCAAGGGAAAAAACCAAAATCCCTCAATAGGAGTTTTGGGCTACAGGGTTTGTTTTCTTTTTTTCTTCCTCCCCACCCCACCCCCTTTTTTTCTTTTTTTTCTACATCAACAGGTATTTTGTGGCACTTTTTTAACTGGAAAGAACATTAGTAACTGACTTTTTAAGTGCCAACAAAAACAGAATGTAAGGGAAAGGATAGCAGACCCTGTAAACTTTGCTATTATAACAGCTAATGGTGCACGTTTGCTCATTTTTCACAAAATGAGCCATCAAGGAACAGCTGTTCTTGTTTTCATTGCACACAGAATAAGTGGTATAAACAATGCGATTTACTTATAGCGTGCTGCTTATTTCTGGCAGAATGAGGCAAAATTAATTATTTTGTTGTTTAGACTTACGGTATTAATTCAATCTGCCACGATTATAGGTTTTTATTGTGCCAGGAAAATTTAACGTTTGCATCTGATTCTGCCACCCCTTCCACATCTGCCCTCCAGAAGAGCTGAAAGTCATCTAGAAGCAATGCCATCAATAGGTTTTAAAATCTTTCAGCCCCTCCCACAAAGTACTCAGCATCCTTCAGATTTGGGCTTGAGAACAGTCAACCTTTGGAGAGAAAAAGCTTAAGCATAGTTCAGCATAAGTGGGGAATATAGCACTGCTTAAGGGAAGTAAACGTTGTGACCTTAAAACATACTCTATCTGCCAGCACATAGAACTGAAGTCTGGGTTAAATTAGTTGTACTAGAGGTAGAGATCTGAGATGTCTGGTGAGATTATAGATGCTTTGAGGTAGAGAATTTTGGCTCAGATTCATCTCATGTTATAGGTGGCTGTACTTTATCACTTTGTTTTAACTTGGTTCACCAAAAATAGCACTCTTCATAAGTATCTAAATAAATATTTTAGCCATACCATAATGCCTTTAATGTTCTTAGTGCCTATTTTAATACAGAGCTTCCAGTGGATAGGAATTCTGCAGGACATTTCTAACAGGATGCTGACATACCAGCCAGTTTGAATTTTAAAAAATTAAGTCTGTCAGGAGTTTCTGATGTATTTTTTTTTTGCCAGAAATCAGAATTAGCATTGAAACTTGGACCTTGAACAGCATTCAGTGTTCAAATAGTATTAATTTTTTCTGTCTTGCTTTAACACACTTTCTCCCTGTGAAACAGAGACTACTGTGAAACATAACAAGTAGCAAGTATCCTTTGGTATATTACTGTATTTCAGTCTCCAAGTTGCTCCCAGTTGCCTTCAAGTAAGACTGATTAATTCAACAAAAGGTTCAGCTGGATTATCTCTCACCCCTCTCACCCCCACTTCTTCAGTTCAAAGAATAAAAAAAGGTGGTGTTGTCTGCAAGTTAATAGTATTTAAAAACACTATGCTGTATAAAACATAGATAATGTTGTCAATACAATGGAAGTTCAAAGATTTTCCTCTGTTTGTTTGTTTGTAGAAATAAACTTGCAAGGACTTCTGTTTTAAATCCTTGCAATCAAATAATTATTATTAAGACGCTTTCAATTTATACCATAGCTTACATAATTATAATCTTGAATATGTTCAGGAACTTTGTACTTTAATAACAATCCTGTTTGACTTGCTAGCATTATATTGTCGTGCAGTTGCTTACTTTTTTTCTTCTTAATCCATATCTAAAATTTATTTACAACATTTCTTCCTGAAATAAGTATCAAATCAATGACTATGAAAAAAATCAGTTAGAAATTTAAAACATAGTAGTACCATATAGGCATCATAGTAACTTTCTTCTTCAACTGGTGCTAAAGATAACTCATGTGTAATTTTACAATATCATCAAGAAGGCAAGGTAAGAAATGGAAGTATGCATTAGCACTTTGTTCCACCACTGCAGTGTATTTAAATTAAGTTTAAATGATCAGCTATTTTTATGAACATAAGAGTGGTAACAATAGCAGAAAGATTATTACAAATTCTTTAAAATAGTTGATTTTTATTCCCTGACATTTAAAGGCTTTCTCGAATTACAGTAAATTATTTTCAAATCCTTCAGGAATAACATTCTCCTCAGTCTTTTCTTTCTTCCTCTGACCCTCCCTCCTCATCTGTCTTTCTTTTGCTCACTTTCCTTGTCTTTTCTCTCAGGCAGTCTTTACTGAAAGATACCTATTTGTGCTGTGTAGAACACACAAAGAAGATGAAAAAATGTGAAGCACAGTAAAAAACATAAAGCCATTTATTAAAGATAAACAAGGGCATTATAAAGGGAGAGGTAGTAAGGGATCCTACTAAAAAATTTATAGTTGAATATAAAAAGGATCTTGTAGAGAAGGATCAAGTCTGAAATTGAAAATTTATTATGCTGTGAGAAAATGTCATAGATCTG